TAACTTTAACCCAACTCTTAACCCTCACCTTAACACTAGACTGAAAGCCAACCCTAACCCCAAACTCGACACCAAACTTAGAGGTAAATCTTGCTTGAACACTTTCTCTCACCCTAACCTTAACAGTAATCCTGATCCTTCCGAACTAATCGTTATGCCCCGGGAATGGGGGAAGATCCTATTCTCGTGTCCTGCTGAGTTTCATTTCTCGTTATATGGAGCACTTTTCAACCTGCCTTGTAGGTTACTCTAACTGTCGGGCGACAATGATCATTAATTGCAGCGGATCTTCCAGTTAACAAGCGATCTCCTTGTCCGTTGTATGCGGTTGGAGAGAATGCCAACAAGGGTATGAAAGACTGGGATGGTCACCTCTAGCTTGTTACCCATTGTCAGCCAGTCATACTCAACTCAAGGTTTGTAGGACTCGGGATTCAAACCGGCGTTCATTGGTCCTCGAACGTTAAGGACTGTACAGTTCTACTACTGAGCCACGGGCCCGTTGTCCAATCAGTTACTATCGGATTTCGAACAATGGTGTTAATGCATTCACCCATCAGTTTAAGGGGTATGCTTATCCTTTTAGATATTACTGGTCCCTATGCGACCAACGGCGAGGAATCTAGATTGAGCCTCAAGGCACAACGGGACGAGTTTTCCTTATAACCTGATCGGTGAAAAACCTTCATGTCACAGGAAAGAGATTCAGGTAAGACAAGGAAAGAGGAAATCCACCCTCCCTTGCGGTAATATGGGTGGCATTGCGCAAAATTTCGGAAATGGTAAATCCTCTAATCTAACCCTTAACCGTAACACTAGACTGAGAGCAAACCATTGCCCTAGCCCTGACACCAAATTTAGACGTAAGTCTAACCTTAGCAGTAACCCGGACTCTCCCTTCCGCAAAATTAGCTTAAAGTCCCGGAAATACGAGGGCGTTCCTATTCTCGTATCCTATCGAGTCTCATTTCTCGTGATAGAAAGACTTTTGCAACCTGTCTTGCAGTTCATCTGAATTGTCACGCGGCAACGGTCATTAGTTGCAGCCGCTCTTGTAGTCAACCACCGACCTCGTTGCCTGCTGTACTAGGAACCTTCCCTCTTCCCAGTTAATACAGGTGACCTTGTACCAAATTCCAGGAAGGATACCTATGCCCGCGTTCTAACCCCAACGCTAACCCTAATCTGCCTGTAATTTAGAGTGAGGCCACCTGTATTACCGAGGTTGCCTATATCCGAGTCTTAACTATGCGTCTATATAACCGCCATCTCGAGTTAAGTGTACAGAGATTGTGAACGCTGCTACAGTTTGATCGAATGTTTCGGAAAATTACTGGCATTTGAAAGGATGCCGATCGGTGGAACTTCAAAGTAGGCTTGTCCGGAAAATTATGACTGATTGAAGGGAAATTTAGCAGATAAACACAACGAATCTCATCTAAATTGAGACCTGCCACAGAAGATTGGACATATGTCCTTGATGACCAATGGCTGATTTAAGTTTACAGCTGTTTTTGTTTCTGATACAGGATGAGCTGCAGGCGGCCCGAGCGTAGAAGTCGGAGGTTTTTTCGCTGAAGCTGGTGCAAGACGTAGGGTAGTAGACAGCCAGGCAACATTATTGATGCGAACTCCAGAAAGGCAATCAATCAGGGTTGGAAATTAATGACCCTTCAGGCAGTCAGAGAAGACGCCGTATGACAGGCTGAATGCGTAAACTGTATAGTCTTGCCTTTTTAAAACTAATTCTAATTAATTGACAAGAGTGGGAAAAATCGGAATCGTCCAGTCATTGTACTAATATTTCCGCACGAGACAGGCTGGTAGGTAACCTGCCGTAAGGAATTATGGCTATATCCATTAAACTGTTTTTGTAGTTTCGCTGACGATCAGTCAGGGTGAGGCTGCATTAAGGGGTATCCGACGTGAGCAAGCCTAGCGCCAATGTCCCTTTAGAGTGGCGCAGGTTGGAGGGTTGTTGCGGTTAGGAAGAACTCAAGCGGAGAGCGGAGGTGAACGTTGGTGAGCAGTGAGACTGATCTGTGCGTGGACTGCCGGACAAGG